AGAGAGAGAGAGAGAGAGAGAGAGAGAGAGAGAGAGAGGAGAGAGAGAGAGAGAGAGAGAGAGAGAGAGAGAAGAGAGAGATTTCTCTTTTCCCTTGGTCACTAAGTCAGATCAAACGATGGAGTGACACTGAGAAACCTAACCCCAGAGTCAAAGCCTTCCTGCAGGTATTGGGGCTGACCAGCGACCAGGAAAACGACAGGACTAGAAAAGCGGTGGGTTCTTCTGTGAACTATAAAGTCGTTCCTCTGTCCTCTTACACACAGGGTGGAGATGGGACAATGTTAAAAAGTGAAAAGCCAGCTCCCTCTTTATATTACATTATATTACAATATAGTCGATATTATAGTATATTGGGAGAGTCAGTGTATTACCTACACTACAGAGGACGTCACGGGGCCACAGAGTTTAGGCAGGGAAGTAAAAGAAGTGGAGGAAGGAGAATGTGGGGATTTTATTGCCAACCAGACAGTTTTATTTGGGAGAGCAACAGGAGCAGAGGAGGAGACCCAAAGGCCGTTGTGGAGTTAAGAATATGTGGGAGAACAGATAACTTGGAGACGTGTTTTCTGTGACCTCCAAAATGATCCAGCTCTGACAGTAGATGTTACCGACTAAACCCAAGGGTCCAGACAGACCTCCGCTGCTGAGTTCAGCCCGACTAAACTCAAGGATCCAGGCAGGTGCTGAGTTCAGCTCTGGCCGTCAGTGGCCTTAGCTTCAGACTGCCTGCTAAGTCCTCCTGCCCCCAGGATTAGCACTCAGGCCCAGAGAACAAATTTGGCTATGGGGAAGGTTTGAAATGGCAGGCATTGGTTGATGCTGGGATTATAGAACGCCATTCAGAGGAGTTATGTTCAAGTGGAGACTTAATGGCAAAGAAATGAAAGAGAGAAAATCAGATAAACGTTTTTATTTTGGAGACCCAGAAATGCCTTGACACTGTGGTGTATGCATCAGAAAGGAAGCTACCCACAGGCAGGAATCTGCTAACTTGATTTAGCTAACAGGAGTCACTTCTGAAGACTAGTAAGGCCATGGAATGGGCACAGTTTCTGGACTGGAAAAGCTTAGGGGGCAGATTCTGAGCCAAAGGAGATTGACTGAGGAGCTGGCACCTTGGGTGACCTTTGGGTGGCTTTCTATGAGAATACCCTTGTGATGCTTTTCTATTTTGACATTTTAAAATGTGCTTTCTGTGTGTGTATGTGTGTGCACACACTCACTTGCATGCACATGTGAGTACAGGTGCCTATGGAGGTCGGAAGGGAGCAATGGATATCCTGGAGCTAGGGTTACAGGTGATTGTGAGCCACCTACTTGGGTGCTGAGAATCAAACTAGAGTCCTCTGCAAGAGCAACACACACACACACACACACACACACACACACACACACACACACACACACAGCATCACACAGGTAGGGGTCAGAGGAGAACTCTTTTTCCATTATGTGGGTTCCAGGGATCAAGCTCGGGTTATCAGGCTTGTTCACAAAACCTCCCCTTACCCAGGGAAGATGTTTGTTTCCACTCCTTGTTAGAATACCAACTGTGTGACTGTACGTATGCCACACGAAGACTGGCATCTTGGACATTTGTTACTAATGAGCACACAGTGAACGTGAGCTTGAGAGAAGGTAATGTAAGATATTCATTCCGCAGCTCCCGGGAATGTCTGCTCAACATAGGCTTTTATACGACCTTTCCTTCCTTGTCTTTATCCCTGAAGATCCAGGGCAAACATAGTCCTAAGCACAGATCTGTGATTTTTACACACGTCGTAGACTTGAACACTGTACACTATCGGAAGAAAGACATTCGGTTTGAGCTAAACTAAAAACTAGTGTTTTTGTTTGTTTGTGTTTCTTTTGTGGAAGGAAAAAGGAGTGAAATATATGAAGAAAATTCTTGATTCTACATGCCCCCAAACACTACACTTAAAATTCGCCGCTGCTTACAACCTTGGAAGAGCTTATTTTGAAGGGAAAGGTGTGAAGCGATCAGACGAGGAAGCGGAGAGGTAAGGTTCCCCGGAAGTAGGAGTGTGTGCTGCTGAAAAGCTGAGACGAAGACTGACATCCCCCCTGTCTTCTCTCTTAGACTGTGGCTGTTTGCTGCAGACAACGGGAACCCAAAAGCCAGCGTGAAAGCACAAAGTATTCTAGGACTGTATTATTCGATGAAGGAGCCCAAACAGTTAGAAAAGGTAACCTCCCCCACCCCATCTTAAAATTGTATTTATTTTGGTACTGGCAAAACCCCAGCCTTGCCTACGCTAGCTGGGCAAGCGCTCGAATACTGAGCTATATCCCAACCCTCTGCCTTTGGACACTAGCATTATAGCTAGATTCATAACCATTTCACTGATTTTTTTTTTTCAGAGAAGACACTGCGGGATAAATATGTAGGCTTGGATAGCTCTTACACTTCCTGAACAATGTAGAGGAAGCTCATACTTTGGGACCTTGTGTTTGACTTTCCATCACCATGATAAATACCTGACAGCGACTTATTGCTCACCTCACTGCAGCCATGAAACAGAAAGACAGAGAGGGAGGGAGGGAGGGAG